TTCACTAATTTCTGATTTCTGGAGATTGCTGTAGAGAGTCTGTTCTGTATGGGCAAATGACTCCCTGGAACAAAATAATTTCTACAACTAATTTTTTGGGGTTTGGTTTTTGTTTGGTTGAATTTTTGGGTTTGTTAGTTTGTTTTTTCTAAGAAGTGCCTTCCATTGTGTTTGGTCTAGGTGTGTTATTTGGGCAGTTACAAGTTGCCTAACAGTCAAAAAAATCTGAGAAAACTCCAAATGTCTGGTGAGAAAACTTGCCATTTCAAGCTCTACACTCCTTTTGGAAGGGAGAGACCTTTTTTTATTCTGCGTTTGAGCAATGGATCATGCAAGAGTGTTTATACTTTCTCAAGCCCTCTGGGAAGAGCTGTAATACATTACTCAGTTTTGTCTTTTGTTCAAAGAGATAAAAATGCTTCTTATGTACCATTACTATGAACTAGTTTTAGTGCCAAGCAAGACAAGAAACAGAGAAATAAAGTTCTGAAACTTAAACAATTATTCTGTTGTTGGAAATTTATTTTTTAAACTGCAGAGGAAAGAGAAGAGCTAGGTGTTGTGTTTTCTAATTGATAGCAAATTTTTATATCAGGCACATCAATTGTTTGAGAATTTACAATGTGAATAGTGAATTCTCTTTCTAAGGCTTGTATCTGGCATCTGTCTCCCCATGCAATGCAAAAATTAAAGCAGGATTTCTTCTGTAATAACATTTATTGGTAGAGTACTTTCCTGTACTTGACCGCACTGTGCTTTGTGGAGGGATGAGCAGTCAGTGTTAGTTGACACCCAGTCCTGAGCTGCATCTTACTCCACCTTTTCTGAACCCTTACAGGCTTTCCCAGGCAGGTAGCCTGAGCCCTAGCTCTGAGCTTGTGATGGGCCAAAGATGCAATGTACAAATTAATTACAGAGTTTAAGTCTACACTATTGAGACAATATTCACTCCTGGTTTTATGCTGTGTGTTTGTGCCATGTGTGGCACATTCCAGTTTCTTCTGAAACCTTTAGTGCCCTGCCTTATGATGTAGCCTCTTATTTGCAGTGAGAACATTCTGGTTGAGAAATTTGATTTAGGAAGATTGATCATTTTAATGGTGTTAAAACCAATAGGTTTAATTGCTCAGCATTCCCCCTCTTTTACAACTGGGGTGTGCTAGCCCTGGCCAGCAGCCACACACCCAACACAGCTGCTCATGCACTTGAGGAATTTAACCTAATTTATTGCCATAATATATTTACTCACTGATTTGAGTATCGGGAAGTGAAGAAGACAAACATTAAAGCATCTTTCCTTCTGCTTTCCCAGGCCCAATAACACTCCAGACATTTCTCCCCTCTTGCTATCTCTCCAGATTACTCACAGTCCCTTGGGTGAGGCGATGGGTGCCACAGGGGTTTGGGGTCAGGATGTAGCAGTTTCCTCTCCTTGTTTCTCACCATTTTCTTCTGCTGCTTCTTCCTTCTTTCTCATTTCCTCTCCTCCATTGTGGGCCCTCCATGGGCCACAGCCCCTTTGGAGGTGTGCCTGCTCAGTCATGGAACACCTCCAAGTCCTCTGACCTTTTTGTCCCTTTACTGCCTTGTTTCCCTCCTTGCCCCCTTTGGTGTTCCAAGTTTGTCTCTTCAGATTTGGTATTTTCTGCCCTTCCCTCAGTATGTTTTCACAGAGGCACCACACACATGGCTGATGGGCTCCTCTTTGGCATGTGACAGGCCTGTTGCAGACCCAACTGGATGGATGTGATCAGCACAGGACAGCCCTGACTTCCTCTGCCAGGGCTACCCCTGCAGTTCCATGGCCAGGATAAGCGGGGAGCAAAGTGGGGCAGAATGGTAACTGTCCAGCTTCAGGCAGACTTGTAGGAGTGGGCAGCTCAGGCTGCATCATCAGAGAGCCTATTAGCATGACATTTATTGGAAAGGAACCCAGGAGGGATCTTGAAGGTCATTCATAATTTTAGATCCGATACAAACTTCTACTTTAGGAAAGAACTGAACCATAAAATCTATGCTTTTCCATGTTGCAAAGTAAAGTTAACTGCACGTGGAAAGGAAGTTAATTGTTTAACTATTTTGGCCTGAAATACAATACTGAGTCACATTTTTATGTCACAGCAGGGAAATGCTACAAAATGGAGCTTGTAGTTATGCATATATGTCATACATATATATAAATATATTTCAGAGTTAAAATAAAATAAAATAAAATAAAATAAAATAAAATAAAATAAAATAAAATAAAATAAAATAAAATAAAATAAAATAAAGTAAAATATCTGAAACTTTGTGTTGCAAATTGTGGAAGGGAAGATTGCACCTGGAGCCAGCAGATAATGGTTGATGCTAACTTCGGCTTCAAAACACTTCCACTCAGCATTCACAGCCAAGATCATTCCTGGCTATGGTTATTGGTTGAGGGAGCATAGATAAATATTGTAAGAAGTAATTACTATTTTACAGAATTTTCATGGAAAATGCTGAAGAAATTTTGTAAAATGTGCTTCTGAAAGACTTGGCTGCAAAGAGCTAGAGCAAAGGACAGATTATGTTATAAGAAGTTTGTTCTAGTTCTGTAGGATGCAGCATCATGGCTTGTAGCTGCTCAGAATGTGTGTGAGAAATCAGCAACTACACCTTGTCTGGATCTGTATGGAACACCTTAGTAAATGCTTTAAATCTGGGCCTGGGCTACAGAGATGAGCTTTGAAGTGGAGTTCTTCAACTACCTCTAATTGTGAAGCCTAGTTTAGTTGGCTTCTTGCACTGAGTTAAGCAGGAGGTTCAGGTAAAACCTCCAGGTCCAGTGCAGTCTATATGGGGCAGATGAGGGATGTAGGGTTTTGCCCTAGACATACCACACTGGTGACAGTTTTGTTAGAATGGGCCATAGCCAAAAGGAGTATCTCCCAATGCCTGGAATATGCATGTCTTGGACAATACTTCAAGCATTTTATTTTATTTTATGTCAGTATAAATCACCCTTCTTTTGTGCAGCATGAAGGGCCATGCACTATACCTTTACTCTCAAAAAAATCCCTAACCAAAACACTTCCCTAAAATCAGCTATTTAATGCAGCCCCTTTGCCAGCCCATTGCTGTGGGAACTCAGTCTTTCATTTATTTATGAAACCAGACAGATTCTTGTGTTGCGTGCAGAGTTGAAATTCTAGGTAAGTGTCCAGACTTTTTAAAAAACTTACTTCAAGTGGTTTTTTTCTTTTTGTGGTATGAATTTAGCTGTGTAAATGGTATGACCATTCAACAGTATCTTGCCATTACTTGTATGATGCTTTTAAAAACACCAAGAATAACTGTAGATGTTCTGTCGAGGTTACCAAGAATCAGTTCGGAGTCTGAGCTAGACAGAAGCAATTTAAGGAAAATGAATAATTTAAAACTAGGAGAACACTGTGTGAGGATATTTACAAAGGAGATTCATGTCTTAAATCCCCCAGCTCTATACCCAAAGAATCTTTGGCTACCATTGCAGCTAAAGGATTAATGTGGCCCATACTGGTTTTAGATAAAAAATAGATCAGTATATCGAATACTTGCTGCACTGAAGTCAAAGAGAAAAATTCCATCAACTTCAGTGAGGTCAATTTACTGAATCACTCGAATTTCTCCAGATATGTTTGATCATCAAGATTTAAAAAAAAAAAAAAAAAACGGATTTTGACAGCACTTTACAACATACTTATTTGAGGCATAATTAACAGGTTAGAAGGTAAATCTAGGATAAAATTCTTTCTCATTTATACTTATGTATCTTGTACCTTCTTTGCATTTACATCACACAGACACCACACAGACACTACTTTTGCATCTGCTGAAATCACCGACAGAATTTCCAATCTTTTCAATAGATAATAATCAAGCTTTTAATGACTGAGATACTGATTAATACATTATTATTCATGTTGTTAATGTTATTATTACAATTTTGAAATAATAATGTAAATGAGAACAAGATTTAAAAAAACCTGCAAGGCAACAAAACCTGAGCATCATAATCTGTAACAAATAAATCTGTAACAAATAAAAAATACACTCAGGAATTGTTTCTCATTAATGTCATATGTGATGTATACGCCATGTCAATCTAACTGAAAATGTGTTTATTGTGACATATGCAAGTACTCGTTAGGGGAAAAAAATAAGTTTGTTTCAACTATGTCTGAAAAGCTAAAGAACTTAAGCAATTTTATTTGTTCAGGTCGGAATTTTGGGGAGGAAATTAATTGTGTTAACTAAGACTGACTCTCAGCAACAACATATTTCCATTTTATAGTATCTTTTATAAATGTGTTTACAGTGTTGTAGATAGTAATTTAAAGTTACAGTATTAATGAAACTGGAAACTTCAGTAACAAAACCAGCATCAATTCTAGAAAACCCAAAATACAATGTTTCAATTCTTTAATTTCCTTGAAATTCCACTTTCTAATCCTGAATTAATTTTATCCATATTATTAAATGTATTTTATTCCATCACTGGAAATAATGGGGAGTTATTTAATGTAATTAATTTTATGTGTTCTGAGATAATTCCTGTTTACTTTGAAATATACAATTTAAAAATATTGTTTATTTTCAACAGAATTCAGGTTTTGATATCTAAAGAATGGTAAGTCTACAACACCTCTGTTCTCTTTCGTTATTGAGTGCTTCAAATATAATACAGAAAACTCTTAGGCAAACTCAGATTTTGGGGGAATTTTTTAGCTTTTTAGAACAAGTTGTTCTAAAATGAGAATAAAAGGTTTTTAAAAAATCCACACTTGGTTTCCTACATTGGCATAGTATAACATTTTCTTAGCATAACTACTTTATAGCTTGTGCATAATAATTTTTGTCCTGTCAATATTCTTAAACGATAACTTTGGATTCATAAATCATCTTAAGCAAGGGATATATACCTCCATGTTACATACTATAAAACACTCCAATAGCAGCAACACCCTTTATGTAAACCTCTGCTGCAAATTAAGGAAATGAACCTTGAAACATTTGCACGAGTGAGGAACATTACCCGTGTGAGTTGTCCCACTGACCTCAAAGAGACTTCTCAAAGGAGTGAGAATTTTCTCATAATAGTAAATGATTATGGTAATGCCTCCGTGCCTGTAAAATACAAATTCCAGGAGGATGTATATTCTATATAATCACTGTATTTATCTGGGATTTTCCGACTATGTTGATAGAACCAGCCTGGCCTTTTCTGGCTTCTGACTGAAAACTGTTCTTGCAGATTTTTCCTGAGCAAGACGTACTGGGCCAGGCTTTTGAAGACGCACTTGAAGTCCTGCAGCAACACTCTGACAGAGACATGCAGAGCTCACCAGGTAAAAAAACCCCATTGTTCCATTTCATTTACCACTTTGTATTTTTACAGGAAGGTACAGCTTGAAGCACGTAGAGGGGAGAGTAACTTCCCAGAGATGTATGAATGGACAGCAGAGGGGTATGTTGGGAGGATGGAAAGGGGGAAGAATTTCTGGAGGGTTTCCACCCCTCCATTAGCATTGCTCAGAGTGACATGCATCTTTCATGTCACAACACAGAGAAACTAACAGTCCCCGCTCAACCTTCCCTCCCGAAACTAGTCTTGTTGCATTGAACTCAAATGTCCTACAATCAGAGGATGTATGACCATAGCGTAACAGCCGTTTTCCACTTTTAATGTTTTAATTGAAAAATTCCCTTCTGTTATGCTGTGAATAAACTCATATAACGATGAATTTCAGTGAAAAAACCAGAAAGAAAAAAGACCAATAATTGAGCAGTTCAATTCCTAGAATTACTTTTTTGCATTAAAATAGAAATTTTAAATATTTTTTATTGCAGAAATGATAGTTTGAACTTGGATAATACATAGAAAAGTGTTTTTCTTGGCTCCAGCAGTTTTCTACTTTACAAAAATGAAAATACAGGCAAACTGGAAATTGTTCTAGTTCAGGCAAGATTTTAGCAAGTCAATTACTCTAAAATTTGAAATCTGCATTTGGTACTTTTATATTGTAAATAGAAATGGAAAGAAGGGAAAATAAGAGGCTACATCACACACCCTCTAAGTCCAGAACAAAACACCTACTGTCTTCCATGTGGAATGTTTTTCACACAAGGAAGTTTATTTACATATTGCCTATTGTAAACTGAAAGGTAAATATGACCAATGGGACCATATCTTTAGCTGTTGCTAATAAATTTTTGGCTCCTTTGCACTGGTAATTTCCATATGCCAAAGGACTTGCTATATACAATTTCTTACAGTGTCCTTGCCTGTATCTGTCTTTGGGCCAGTGGAGAGAGGCATTAAACACTTGCAGCTCAGTGTTTAGTATGTCCCACAGCTGCACCCATATTTCCACGTGCAATACATGTACCCTCTAAAATCTCATGACCACTTGCAAGGCACAATTTATTCCAAGTGCCTCAGTCTGGTGTTCTCTGCTTCTTTTAAACATCCAAAGGTCTTGGGCTCCTTCCATGACATTCTTTCAGGTGGTAGAGATGCTGTGATGTTCCTTCACTTCATTTATGATTAGACACACTGACTTACACTGTACTAATGGCCTGCAGAACTGTAATACTTGTATTACAGTGGTCTGGAATTATCCCATTCATTATATTGGGTGATTTGGCCCTCCCTTTTCCATTAACCAAGCTACCTTATGATACTATGAAATATCTTAATTTTATCCTAACAATTACTGCTTTTCATCATGAAAGCAAACAAAACCAACCCAAGGTTATCAGTAACAGTACAGATTATGTTGGATAACCTGCTGATAAGAAATGTCTTGACTCTGTAGTCTTTTACCATCTAGGAGGCAGCCATCGGATAAATGCATTACTTTGATAATTCTCGATCGGGTTTTCCCCGTTTGGAACAGTTATTCTCGTTTTGATGCAAACTCCT